CTTTGAAATAAAGGCGCGAGGGCACGAATCCTCTTGAGGTTTTTCATACCTCATTGAGGTCTATCTATCACCAAAAGATGGGATCTAAATCGCTTAATCACCTAAATATGTTCCCTCGTCAACCAAATTGGCTATTCAAACAAGATACACCTCATATTTACCCTGATAGTCCTACATTACCTGATTGGAAATATCAAGTTGGTACTGAATTAGTTGATGATACAATGCAAGTGTTGGGAGATTATTATGGTCGTCTTCTTGCTTAGTATACTAAAGGAGGTTTTATTGATGAATATGGTCGAAAACATACTTCCGGATATGAATACAATTGGGATTATACAGAAATATTTAATGAAGTCGATATGGAACATCAAATGAATGTAGAATATTACACGCGAGCATATGATGCAGTCATTCAAGGTATAAGAAGACATACAAATAATTATGACATGAAATATGTTGGAATGGTTTTGGGATGTATGCCTTTTGTTTCTTATTTTTATCCACTTCACAAAAAATGTCCATTTTAGATCATAATGAATTCGATTGGTATCGATATTTTCTTAATCATTCAAATCATGCGCCAGATATTCCACTAGATTTTATTGCATATCATTTCTATGCTATAGCTAATAATCGTACTGATCCAAAAGATTGGGAATCCTTCTTTAGTCAACTTGATACATTTACATTAGAAATCGAAGAGATTGAAGAAATACGCAAAAGTCTTTCGCCAGAAACACGAACAACTATTGATGAATTGGGTGTGATTCTTCCTGATGATAATACACCAGGAGCCCCACGATTTCCTTTAGTATATTGGAATGCTGCATCTGCACTCTTTGCATATGCATGGGCAAAAATATCTCGACAAGGTATCGATGTTATTGCACATAGTCAACTTGTTGGTCAGTACTCTTTATATCGATAGTGATCAGACTATTTCTTTGGTATTTATTTGATAGGCTATCCGGAATTACCTGATCTTCAATTTCAACCTAACTATCCAAGTGTCACTATGCTCAACTGGACCACAGGAGAAGGAACAGCCAAATATTGGACATTAAAACTTCTTATCGAGACAGCTGATATTGATAATGATCAAGCAGTTGTTACGCGAACAATCGATGGCGGTGAACAGAATGTCTTTAGTCAAGCATTTACTGGGAAAGATGATCGTCGATGGGTGCTGATTGTTAATAAACGATATACTGATATTGATGTACTTTTGCCTGGATGTATAGGAGGTCGCATGCAAATTGTAAATGAAGCATCTGGTTTTGGACCTGCAACAGAAGTAACATTAACATTGAATCGAATAACATTAAGTCCATTTGCTGTTGCTGTCATTCATATGCCTCCTACAAATGTACTATGATGGAAGAGAAGACAATTTCATATTTTATATAATAAGATTTGACAAGTCTCTTTGTATACTAAAAAGAAACAGTAGAAGTACGCCTTCATTTTTCTTCCTATTTTCTTTTCTCTTTACATGAGTGTATTCCGTAGGTGACGGGAATCAGAGGCTTGAGAGGTGGGTGTGGGTGAGTCAAAGCAATCCAAGATGCGTTTCGACCTTGCTGAAGTATCCCATCAGTTGGTTCTAGACCATGTAGTCACTCGAATGATCGAAGAACCATAAGTATATTACTTAATCTGAAGAGTTCGAGAACATGAAAACGTCCTTATAGCAGGTATCGTTAGTACAGTGCATCAATCGAAAAACAAAGCAACTTATACTTTTTTGGATAGAAGCCAATTTGCTAGTCTCAACTTTTGCTTCTCAGTAATCGATCAAATATCAACAGATATATGAGTTCAAATGATGTGCTTTTGAAAAATAAGTAATAAGAAATGCAGAGAGTTTGATTTCGCCGACGCGTTTCGTGTTATTTATTTAAACTTAAAACACTCATCAGGGCTCTGCATTAACATCAAAAGCAAAATAAAAGTGACTGTATCACCAATAGAAAAACGAGCACAAGACGAAAAGGAAAAAAAACGAGAGAGAAAGCAATAAATGGTTGGATGAGTGCCGAATGACCACAGTCACGAAAATGAAAAAGCTATTTAATAATTTTGACCAAAAGACGTTTCAGACTGAGCCTTGATCCCAGGACAAATGTCATACCAACAACACAGTTTTGTGACTTTCGACAACTTGCATAAAGCCAAACTACTATTTGAAATTTTTAATTCCATAAATCTAAAAACTGTATAACAATCAAGAAATCGAGCTCAGTAGAGATCGCATGTCACTAGATAACACAAATAATTCTTATCGCTGTGAAGCAAGCACCATTTAGCTAACGCCACGAAACTAAAAACTTTGTGAAAATGAATTCCGGTCAATAGTAACCAGTCTATTCGACGTAGAATTTGATTCTGCATCGAATGGTGACACTTTTATCCACGGGAAAACGATTGGGAAAAATTTACCCTGAACTTTTCTGTTACATATATAAGTATAGAAGAAAACTAAGAATTGAGGCCAGCTCCGTCCTGATCGTTTTCCCGTGGATAAAAGTGTCACCATTCGATGCAGAATCAAATTCTATGTCGAATAGACTGGTTTCTATCGACCGGAATTCATTTTCACAAAATTCTTAGTTTTGTGGTGCTAGCTTCACACCGATTACTTCATTATCTGACGAGCTGTGGCTATGACAAAGTTACGATGTCACACTGCAAGATCTTCTGCCGTCATAGATACTTCTTTCATTATCATATTGAGTAGCGTTTCCTTGTCTTCACCGTCATCATAATCGTGAATTCCACGAAGAATGTGCGTAGTGTCGACTACATGGGCTGGCAAATATAAAATTGATTCAAATTTTTAAAAGTTGCATGCCAAAACTATTCAAAATTCTTATTCTTACATAGGGCAGTCAAAAAGTTCTGTCACTTTCATATTTTTATTAAGAAAAAAAACATTTCGCTAATCTTTTTACATTAAATGTTCGAAGTAGTCCCCACGATGTTCGATACAAAGTTTCATCCTTTGGATCCATTTCTGAAAGGTCTTTTGATATTCATTAACAGGTATTGAGTTGAGCTCCTTGGTTACTGCTGTAGCCAAACTTGTAGAATCTGGATATGTATCGAGATTACGTTTTAGATAGCCGAAGAGCCAGAAATCACAAGGAGCAAGGTCAGGCGAATAAGGTGGATGGACCATAATTTGCATTTTGTGTTGTTGAACATAATCAAAAATAATATTATTCATATGTGGACGAGCATTATCATGATGCAGCTTAAT